GATTTCCATATACCCCCTACCCCACACATGCCTAGCCTACCCATGATCAACATGTGCTACGAGTTTCCCATCACTGCTAGGTCTGAGATCTGCTCTGAGACAGTGACCTCTTGAGTCAGGACACGTGCCCACCGTCACACACGCGTAACAGACGTGTTTCCCGAGACCCCTCCCCAGCTCATGCCCCTCCCCCGCCTCTGCCATGGGGCGCTTTGTTGAGATGCTCCAGGCCTGGCCGTGGCCTTGGAGGTGGACTTAGAGGCGGGATGACCATGACCATGGCTGCAGATAACTCGGAGGGCGTGGCCGCCCAGGACAGTGCCGGCTCCAGGGCCTGGGTGGCTGGGCCGGAGGGCTGGGCTGCTGAGCCTGTGTCCCCCCACCCCCTCAGTTCTTCGTGTTGCTGCTGCTGGTGTTCCTGCTGGAGGTCACCGTCACCGTCCTCTTCTTCGCCTACACCGACAAGGTCAGCCCCTCGGCCACCGGCTTCTGGGGGCTCCGTCAGCGAGGGGCCGCAGGCTAGTGTGCCGGCCAGCGGCTGGCCTCAGCGGCCCCTCGTCTGACGCCACTCACTGTGGGTAGTTGACCTCCCACTTGTCCCCTTGGTCGTCTGTTTATGTCAGTCCGGGCTCACTCACACGTGTTTGTTCCCGGGGTGGTGACCCGGAACTGACTTCCTGCTCATCGCCCGCCTGTGCGTGGGCGCTCAGCTGGCTCCCGCCGCCTGGGCCTGGCCCTGCTCTTTGGGGACCACTTCCTTTTTCCTGGCACCAGAGACGCCCTCCTTTCCTGGAGGGTCTTAGGGACGGAGCCTGGTTTGCTCCTTGCTCGGGGGTGTTGGAGCCTCAAGGCCCCTCAGCCGATGGCATGGTTGTGTGTGCTGACCGGTGGGCACACCCGGCTCGGAGTCTGTGTACCTGTCTGTCTGTACGTCCAGCTGAGCTCGGGCTGCTGTGTCTGACTCTACTCCAGTGCTCAGCACCCAGGGGCCGGCTAACGGCAGAACAAAGGCCTGTGCGCTGTGGGGACTTCTGGGGCGAGGTGACTCCAGGGAGGGGCCGAGGGCAGGCGCTGCGGGTCTGCACAGGGAGGCCCCGCTGACCACACTGCCCCTGCAGATCGACAGGTATGCGCAGCACGATCTGAAGAAGGGCCTGCACCTGTACGGCACCCCGGGCAACGTGGGGCTCACCAACGCCTGGAGCATCATCCAGACCGATGTGAGGGGGCAGGAGGCGTGGCGGGTGGGGCGTGGCTGGACCTGTGGGGCAGGAGGCGTGGCGGGTGGGGCGTGGCTGGACCCGTGGGCAGGATGTGTGGCGTGGGCCCCTCAGCGAGGTCCTGCCCGGTGCCTCCCGCAGTTCCGCTGCTGCGGCGTCTCCAACTACACGGACTGGTTCGAGGTGTACAATGCCACGCGCGTGCCCGACTCCTGCTGCCTGGAGTTCAGTGAGAGCTGCGGGCTGCATGCCCCTGGCACCTGGTGGAAGGCGGTGAGCCGGCGCCCGTCCCGTCTGTCTGCTGGTTTGGCCCCAGGACCTGGGGGTAGAGGGCCAGCCTCGCAGCAGTGCGCCCGGTGACACCCCCCCTTTCTCCAGCCGTGCTACGAGACGGTGAAGATGTGGCTCCAGGAGAACCTGCTGGCCGTGGGCGTCTTCGGGCTGTGCACGGCGCTGGTGCAGGTACGGAGGGCGCCCCAGATGCCCTGCCCCCGTGGAGCCCCGTCCCCAGGAGGAGGTGGGTCCGTGCGGGTGGACAGGGAGCCTCCATGAGCGAAGTGGAGGAGGCGCAGCCTGGACGCCTGTGTGAGGACCCTGGGCACTCCCAGCCCTGTTCCTGAAGCCCCTGCCCAGCGGGTGGTGCTCACAGGGCTGCCCAGGGTAGAGGGAGGGTGGGCCGCCCAGGCCCTGATGGCAGGTCCAGCTGGGGCCCTGTGCCCCTACCCCTGGCCCCATGGAATCCCGAGTGTCTGCATCCTGGGGGCTAAGCCGTGTCAGTAACCATGGTCATCAGGGCAGCCACCGTTCCTGGGTCGAAGCCAGAGCAGATGAACATGCAGAAGTGACGATCACAGTTGGATGAATGGGCAAGGGGCAGGGTGCTGGGGCCCGGCAGGTGGGCGCTGGCCCTGAGGCCGCCTGCAGAGCCCAGGCTGGCCATGCCAGGGAGAGCTGGGCCTGGGCTGAGTCCCAGGAGCCCCGAGGTGCCCACTATGCCTGCAGGGCTGAGGGGGTGGTTGTGATGGACCTGAATTGCCAAGGGTGGGGGGCCATCCTCAGAGGGGCCGGGCCCGCAGGCAGGACATGGCTCTGGCTCCGCTCAGCCCAGCCCCCCGTGTCCCCGCAGATCTTGGGCCTGACCTTCGCTATGACCATGTACTGCCAGGTGGTGAAGGCCGACACCTACTGCGCGTAGGCTGCCCTGCCTGCCACCTGCTTCGCTGCCAAAGGATGCCACCCACCGGGGAGACAACCTCGTGCCAGAGGGGCAGCTGGCACCTCCCGTGTCCACCCACAGATTCTCCAGAGCAGCTTTCCCGGGCCCGACACAGGGCTGGGGTGGGGGAGGGCCTCCTGCGCCCCGGTGCTTGGGCGGGCGGAGCCCCGTCATCACATTCCATGTGGGGCAGGGCAGGCTCCCGGTGCGTCTAATAAAGTGCGTGGGCAGCAGCCCCCCGTTTGTCACTGCCCTGACTCCCCACGGGGGCACCACGCCTAGGCAAGCCCGTGGCTGTGGGCTGCCTACCCACGTGGGGCTGGTGCCTGGAGTGGGGTTCCAGGACACACACAGGCTCAGGCGAGCTGCCCAGCCAGCAGATGGGGGCTTGTGTGTCTGAGGACAAGCCCCCAAACCTCCACTAGATTAGCTCCAGGAAGTGGTGCAGAGGCCCCAGGAACCGCGAGGAGTCCCCCTGACCTGTCCAGTGTCTCCATCCCCCTGCATTTCTGTCTGCTCCCCCCACCCCCCTCCCGTGTCCTCAGCAAGGCGAGTTCAGTTCCTTGCTGCCTGTTAGGGGTTCCTGTCCTGTCCTGGGAACATGGCCCCGAAGCATTTCTTTGTACGACTTTGCAAATAAAGGGGCCGTGGAGAGCGAGCAGCTGCCAGGCCCAGCACCAACCAAGCGCCTCGGTGGCATCCTGTGACCTGGGCTGATGGGCAGTGAGGGGCTGGGGCTGGGTCCAGTGGGGATGGGCCTCTCAGGAGCCTCAAGCTGTGGGGCATCTGACCCCCTCAAGCCCCACCCACAACCCCCATTCCTGCCTGCTCCATGGTCCTGCCTTGGTCAACCCACCTAGTGACTGCAGGGTGCCCGGCCCCCAGTTTCTGGCGTGCCCCCACGTCCCCCCAAACTAACACAGGCTGCGGTCTTGGACAGTTAACACGAACTTTCTTACACACCAGCAGCAGATGCCCGGAAGTGAGGTGAGAACAGTCACACAGCAAAGCTATCCCTCTAACCTGCAGTGCCCGCCCCGTGCCCAGCTCCCAACGAGGGGACAGCTATCCTCCAGCGCCTCAATCCGAGGGCCCCCCAGTGTTCGATCCGGGGAGAGCGGCTGTCCTGCAGGTGCCGGGACTGGCCAGGGCGCTGTCATTCCACAGTGACCAGAGCTGCCGGCACCAGCGGGCTCCGGGGTCCTTCTGCCAGTGAGGCCCACGCCTGGCGTCTCCGAGCGGGTTTCGGCAGTGGCCTGACACCCTTGGCGTGGGGGACTTGGTGGCTTGTTGGCAGTGTGAGGCCCAGGGTGACGTGGTGGGGCCGCCCCTGCCAGGAGTCCGGGTCTGGGAGCTGGGTCATTCTGAGGCCTCCAGACCCGTTGGAACCACTGGCCGCATGGAGCAGCCGGAGCCCCGGCCAGGGCTGTCTCTCCTTACGGCACTGCGAGGAGGGGGCCCCACCCAAGGACTGCAATAGACATGGCCAGGAAGGCAGAGAACAGTCTGTATTTCCCATGTCCGTGAGTCCATTGCTGAGAAAGGTCTGCCCAGAGCTGGGCCTAGAGCAGGTCGTAGAAGTAGTCCAGGCCCTGGCCCAGCTCCCAGATGGACAGTCCGACGCCCAGCTCCCTGGCCAGCTCCAGCCGCATCTGCACGGACTGCAGACAGGGAAGTGTCAGCAGCCTCGTCCCCAGCGCAGCCCCAGTGGCCCATGCACCCCAAAACAGGCCCAGGTCCGAGCCCCTTGTCCCCAGAGGGAAGGTCCGCCCCCCCCCTCCTCCCCGCCAGGCGGCCCACGAACCTTCAGAGTCGGGTAGAAGATGATGTGCCTGCCTCCTCGGCTTCTGCAAAGGACAGTGGGACCGAATGCCTCCCGCTTCTCCTGGCCCCGCCCCCTGGGGCCCAGGTCTGAGGTCCCTTGGAAAGCCCTCAGGGCAGTGGTGGGCTTGTGGCCAGGGGCCAGGGCCAGCCCCTCAGCCCAGGGCTCATGCTGGACACTCACCTCTTGTACTCGAAGAAGTGCTCCGCGGCCTGGCTGTCCCACTCGATCCGGGGCCTGTGCTCCTTCAGGGTCTGGATGTACCTGGGGAGGCCGGGGGGTGAGCGCCAGCACCGGGAGAGGAAGGGACCATGGCAAAGGGGGGGGGGGGGCAGGTGGTGTGGGGCCAGGGCAGGACGCATGAACAGGGCCCGGCCCTGCCCAGAATTCCACGAAGGCCTGGCATCCTGCCAGAGGCTCGCGGGGGGCCTCATGCCACCTGGCGGGCAGCTCACTGGGGCTGGTGGCCACACCTATCACCCCACACTGTGCGCCCTTCCTCTGTGCAGCGAATCACTGTCAATCAACGACGTCCATTACCACAGGCTGCCCTTAGCTTGGGATGGTCCTGTGGGGGCACAACGGCCTTCCAGGTGCCCCTGGAGGGAGGGGACGTCCCTCCTGACCCCCCCACAGCCCTGCACTCAATCCACGCCGACCCTCATTCCGGCCACAGACGCGGACCCCAGGGAAGGTGCTGTGGCACCGCCCAAACCACTGCTCTCCCTCGAGGCAGACGTGACCCTGGCCTGATCTGAAAGCCTCCAGCTGACCTGCCTGCCTGTCACAGGCCTGCTCTCTTCACCCACGTCCCCCTCAGCCCCCCTCCTGCAGGACCAAAGTGGGCGCTGACCTCCACTTGCCCTTGAGGCCCGAGCCGCAGCCGCTTGTCAGCGCTGGCGCTCTGCGCAGTTATTTGGCCCCTGGGGAGGCCCTGCTGGGCGGCAGCATCGGCTCCTGCCAGGTGAGACTGGGGTGCAGCACGGGCGAGGCAGCCAGCCACACCCTGGGCCCCGGCCCCCTCTCCACCACCTGCTTCCCTCAGACCCCCTGAAGCCGGGCCCGCTGGCCTCTCTGTCAGGGAGGGGAGGTCGGCAGGGGCTGCCGCCCGGATGGGATACAGCCTTCCAGCCCTGGCTGGGAGCAGCCCGACCCAATGCATGGAGCACACACACACACACACACACACAGATACCTTCAGATCAGAATGCCTTTTTGCAGCCCCAGGCCCCTCCTCAGAACAGCTGGAGCTGTGGCCACTGGGGGCCGCGTGGAGCCCTTTGTCATCTGACCCGCAAGCTGGGTTAGGGCTCCAACAACTCCACTGGGCGAGCTACCGCTGGGCCCACGTCCAGTGAGGAAATGACCCCTCCCCCCAGGTGGGTTGGAGATGAACTGTGCCCAGGTCCCTGTGATAGAGTCTGAGCCCAGGACCTCAGACTGTGACTGGGGTACTGAGGTTAAGTGAGGTCACTGGGGTCCTCATGAGAAGAGGGGATCAGGACACAGACACGCACCGGGACCACGCGGGGACACGGGGAGGAGACGGCGCCCACAGGCCCAGGAGGGAGGCCTCGGGCTCCAGCCTCCAGGACGGGCAGTGAGTGGTGTGTGCCGTCTGCGGTGTCTGTGCAGGGGCCTGAGCTAGGACGGTGGTCTCTCAAGGCCAACACCCCTGCAGGCCAGGGATGTGGGGGGGGGAATAGAGCAGGAGGGCAGGGGGGACCTTCCAAGGAGGAGGTTCTGTCCAGGAACGAGGGTTCTGACCACAGAGACCCCTGTGAAGGACAACGGCTGCAGCAGCGCGCCCAGACCGCGGTCCCTGGACACGCTCTCCACTGACAGGACCAGGACTTGAGAAGAGCAGTGGCTCACGTGGTTTCCAGGGAACAAACGGGCACCTGGCGCCCCACCCAGAGCGCAGGCCCGACGAGGGCTGGTGACCGGACCCAGAGCCAACCGACGCAGGTGCAGAACTTACACGCGACAGGGAAGACGAGAGAAGACCCAGAACCAGCCACTGGGCCGACGGTGACAGGAAAAGGCCGAGTGGATCAGAGCAGATGAGACAAGGCGGGCAGCAGCCCCGGGACGTGAAGATGGAAATAAAACCCCGAAGAGACGAAGGAAAGAAGAGTCCCCAGAGGCCCCTGGGCCAGGGGGCGGGGCCGCACCGAGGCTGCCCTGCGGATGGAGCCCAGCTCACCTGGCCCCGATGACCGGCTCGCGGGAGTCCCTGGCGGCCGAGTAGTCCATGCCGTAGAAGTTGAGCCCCAGGAGGATCTTGCTCCGCCACTTGGACTTGGGGTCCAGGACCTGGACACAGGCTCGCACCCAGGACAGCGGAGCATTGGGGCCAGGCCTGCCGGGCGAGGGGGGAGTGGGCTTCAGTGTCAGGCAGAGGCCTCCCAAGGGTCGAGGGTCCGCGCACAGTGGGAAGGGGCAGCAGTCAGCGAGCCTCCCCTGGTGCCTTCTGCTGGACACTGTCTCTATCTGCTTCCCCTGGGCCACCCATGGGGGGCAGGACACCCGGAGAGTATGCCCCTGGGGGCTGTCTGTTGCCATCTGTCATATGCCCCCAAAGCGAAAAGGCTGCCAGGCCAATCCTGGGCTTTGGAGAACAGGCTGGGCCCGCTGCGCCCTGGAACAGCTGGCAGCTGTGGTCCGGAGCTGGCCAGCGGGGAGCCAGGCCTGGCCTTCCCGCGTCAGCCCTGCTGTGGTGAGCACGCGTGCACCCGGCAGGGCTCACAGGGCCCAGAATCCACTCACTGCTGCGGGGAGGGGTAGTCGTAGGTCATGAGGCTGAAGCCGTCCAGCACAGGGCCCAGTTGCTCCAACTCCTTGTTTGTGAACATGCCCAGCTGGTCGGTCCTGCACGAGACAAGCACGGCCCCCAGGGCCCATCGCACAGCCTGCCGGCCCCCGGCCGGCCCCCGAGCTGAGTCAGAGGAGCTGGCGGTGGGGGTTTGCAGCCCATTGCCCTCTCCTTGCCACTCCAGGACCTCAGGTCACTCCTGGAAATAACTCAGCACTCGGCTACGGGGACGGCCTGCAGCATGGTCAGGGCCGCATGGCCCACGGGGTCGCCTCTAGGGCCTTGTTCCCCCACCAAGACCCCCAACCCTCTGCCCCTAAATGGTGACAGGCGAAGGCCGGCCCACTACTAGGAGGCCCACATCTGCTCCCCACATTCCCAGCCATTCCCACCAGCTATCAACTGCCCCTCCCTGCTGGTCCACTCAGCATGAGCCCACCTACCCAACAAGGGTCAGAGGGGACCACTGGCCTGCAGGCTCCTCAGCCTCCCAGCCTGGACCCCTGCCTTCTGCATCCAACGCCACCCTCCATGCCTGCCCCACACCCACAGGTGGCCTGTGCCCGCTGTCCCGAGCCACCATACTCTGGTGCAGGCTGTCCTCAGCCCCAGGGAGTGGGATGGGCTTCTGTGCAGAGGGGCACCCCATCAGGGTCTTCTGACCATGGGGTGACTGCCTGCCAGAAGCCATGGGGAACCCAGGTGTGGCTAGGGGGGATGGGGGAGGGGAACAGCCCACATCAAGGTGGACATCTGCCCACCAGGCTGTCTGAGCGGGCACTGGTGGCAGGGCCAGCGCGTGGGGGCTGGGCTCAGCAGGTCCGTGGTAGAGGTGAGCTCCCTGAGGCTGAGCAGGAGCTGGCCAGAGCCCAGGAGGACGTGCCGGGGCCAGCCCAGGAGGGCGCCGGCTCCCATCAAGCCAGTGCATTGTGCTGCGCACTCGCATCTCCATGAGAGCGTGAAGCAGAGCAAAACCTCCACGCCCACCAGAGCAGCGGCGGCTCCATGGGGGCGGGCTGTGATCTTGGGAGCAGAGCGCAAGGTCAGCGCTGCTGGGAGGGCCCCAGACACAGCACAGCAGACAAAGGCGCTCGCCCTGCCCTGCACACAGGCCCCTCCCAGAGCACAGGCTGTGCAGTGAGAGCTGCTGTGGAGGTGCTGGGAGCAGTGCCGCGGAGGAGGGTAAGCGACAACGAGGAATGGCTCCCAGGGCCCCACAGTCAGCCCGCCCTGAACGCACACCTGTCAGCACACACCTGGCTGCCGGGAGGGACCAGGGGACGTGCCCGAAGCCCCAGCCACGGTGGCCCCGGTCCCTCCCTCCAGCACCCCGGCCCCCATAGCTTCCTCCTGCGGTGGCTGCAGGGGGAGGGGCCGGTCACCCCGGCTTACACGTCCACTTCCTGCCTAGGTGCCAGGAGCTGGGCGTGAAGGTTCCAGGGCAGAGGGGGTCCCAGCTGTCCCTCCAGGGGGGTCCACCTCTGCCCCCTCAGCACAGCCACTGCGAGTCTGCTCTCCGCACCGGCCGAAAGCTGTGAGGCTCCGTGCCAGTGGACGGCCTGGGCCGGGGAGGGGGCTGCAGGCAGGGTCCCGGCTCCAGTCACAGCACTAGTGGGTGAGCTGCCCCAAACCACCCAAGAAACCAGGAGACCCAGGGAACGGGCGCTGTGTGTCTGCAACCAAGCCCGCTCAGGTGCTCGAGTCTGCCAGCCCTATCACGTGTGTTCCGCACCATGAATGCACATGTGGGGGGGGGAGGGGCACGGGCTCCGCTGGCTCGCTCCTGGGGGAGCACCACCAGCCCTGCTCTGGGACGGGTGCCGGCTGTGGACACAGGTCTGAAATCCAGCCTGTCAGCCCACTGGCCAGATGGGGACCCTGGAAGTGTGGGCACCGAGTGCGGGCGGGCAGGCAGCCAGGCACACTCTCCCCAGAGAACAGTGCCTGCTTCTAGGGGCGCCTGCCCCAGATGCCCCAGAGTCTGCAGGCTCCCCGTGAGCCTCGCTGGGTCGCTTCTGTGAGTCTATCGGCCTGTGAGCGTCCTCAGTGGACATCGCCGGCCGAGGTGCACCTAACCTGGTCCCCTCGGCCTCTGTGGCCCTCCCCACCACTGCCCTGCCCCTTTACCGGGTCTGCCCTGGCCCTGACCTGCGCTTTGGGCAGGGCAGACATGACAGCCACAGCGCCTGGACCCCTCCACCTCCCCGTCCACCAGGTTCTGGAAGGAGCCTGAGGGCGAGCGGAAGTGTGTCTGAGACTCCATCCCTCAGACTGAGGGACTTTCAACACGTCTTCCCGGGTGTGGGTTCAGGGACGCGGCCTGGGGCCAGCCCGTGTCCATCTCCCAGCCTGAGCGAGTGGGCGCTTACCCAGGGGTGACAGCCGGAGGGATGACCAGGATGATCAGCAGCCGGGCCTGGTGCAGCGCCTCGGCGATGTGGGTGAGCAGGTGGATGAGGCCCCTGGGAAGAAACTCGAGGTCAGCCCAGGAGACCAGACCGAGCCCGGGGTCGGGCAGGCGCCCCTCACGGCACTTCCTGCCCTGGAAGATGCCCCAGCCCTCGGACACCGGCTCAGGGTCCACACGCTGCCCGTGGCGCCCCTCCTGTGTGCCCCAGGACCTCCCATGCGGTCCGAGTGGACGCGGAGTGCGAGGCCTGACTGGGTGGCAGCAGGCTCTCCCGGCTCCATCCACCCTCTCCAAACCGGCCTCGGCCCAGCACAGGCGGACGGACAGGGAGCCTTCAGAAGCACCGGCTGGTGCAGGGGCCTGAGCGTGGGGAGC